ATTTTGGACACTTACATCATATTTCCATCAAATTTACAACCTTAATGGCGCGCGATTTTTTCCAGTGGAGGGCTAAATCTACGATCCTTGATCCCAATGAATCGCGAAAATTTGTCAATCCTTTAAGAACATTATGATCACGATTCCGATAGACCCTGATCCCGATTCAAAATCTGAAGATCTGATCCATGGCCAAACAAATTAGAAAAATGTAAAATTTAAATTATGATACAAGAGTTGTTCAGCTTGAATTTGCCAGTCGTTGAAATACCTAAAGGAAACTCGGGAGACCATGGAAATCCTCCTTTAACTTCTGGTGTTAAGTATCCTATCGGCTGAATCATGAGATGCTTTTTGATTCCAGCCTTTTCCAGACCTTCTTTCATCATACGTAGAATTTTTACCGAACGATGTGGACCATAGAAACAATTGATACCGACTATATCAGCACCTAAAAAAAACAAACAAACAAAAAAACAAACAAAAACAAAAATAAAACAAAACAAAAGACAAAACAATACAAAACAAAAACAAAAACAAAACAAAAAAAACAAAACAAAACAAGAAAAAAAAAACCCAGAGCAGTTGTTGTTAAGCTTTCACGAGTTCGTCATTCAAACATTTTCTCATGTTCTCACAAAAATTCCGCGTGTTTCTAACAGAGAACATGATGAAAATATCTTCTAAAGCTTAATTCAAATGTGCAAATTGGCTATTGTAATATATATTTTTAAGTGGTTTACTGGTCCTGTAAATTATCTTTAATCTCTTTAAAATTTTGTTACATACTCTTGAGATTTCCAAACATTTTGTATAATATTATTTCTAGGTTTCACGTTACGTCATCGCCGCCATGTTGGATGACGATAACAAAGCATCCATTATTAGTTTCGCTTCCTCAGTAACACAACATGGCAGCGATTGCTTTTCGAGGGCCGATTCTTGATCGTGTGGTTGAAACCCAAGAATTGTTAAAACCGAGAATTTTTTTTCCAGCAAGACCGGCGATATCCTCGGCTTCTAGTTGAGGTAGATCAATTGACTATATATCGAATCATGCTTCTATGCGGCATGGTATAATCATGTTTCCCACCTGCTTTGGCCACTCGTACAGCGCATTCATCTGGTAATACGCCATCAAGATCCCCAATTTCAGATATCGAAACACACATTGCCACTGGAAGACCAGATTTYTTGCACTGTTCCGTAGCCCAAACGGCTTCCTCAACGTGATTAAAGGTCTTAAAAATCAAGAACACAAAAACCTGAAATCGCTAGTCTTTTAAAATCTGAAGTTGTTACCAGTGGATCAGAGAAACAACTTGTACGCTGAACATTTTATATGAAACGAAATTAACGACGACAGCGCAGCAAAGTAACCAATCAACTCCAATGAATTGATTCAGAACTGCGCATGCGTCCCGTCGAACACTCCTAGAACAATTTGTCTCGGAAATAATTTAAGAAATAATTATGAATCTTAAAGATTATAATCTTTTCTTTGTCCC